TAGGAGTTCAATTGGGGATTAACCTCTCTAGGGATTAGAAAAGAAAATTTAGGAGAGAAATTATAGGAGGAAGGTTGAAAGATGGGAGGAGGCTTGGCGGAAACACCAAGAGAGAGAATATTAGGGAACATAATTAATCTCATAAAATGTAATGTACTAATCCCACTTATAGAATACTTCTAATTTGAAAATTTCCCAAATAACTACCTCATACTTCTCCCCAAGCCCCGATTATTTCAGTGGCTCTCCAAATTCCCCAAAAGTACTAACACAATCCAAAGCGACAAATCAACCAATGCTTAAATAAATGTCTGATAATGCAATACGACCCTAGAAACTCGAGGAGACTCGATTTCTATCATTCACTTGCTCATGAAATCAACCTTGCCCTCAAGGTTGCAACAGTGCACCCGAATCCAGCTTCTCGTCCTCTATTTTCTAGTCCTCAACTTCATCCTCCCAATGCCCCACCAACATCATCAGATCCAGTTTCAAGCACTGGTCCCCAATGTTGAATCGATCATTGCAGTTGAAGCATCGACCTTCCCGCTTCTTCTGCTCGACTCACCTGGAGATAGTCTCACAAAGCCCTTTGGAGGGTGACCCAGGTTTGGCTGCTGTTGGGGCTATTTTCTGGTCACTCCACTCCCGACTTTGCTAGACACCCTTCCTTCACTACTCTGGTCTACACCACAATCAACTGCGCCACTCGGCTTCTGAAAATGACCTATTCTGCTCCTTAAGCTAGTTATCTCCTCCTTCTTGCGACCAGCCTAAAAGCCACCCCCAAGGAGTCATGCTCAAAAACCTTAATCGTTGTCACAATCTCAGGTCATAGTCCTGCCAAGCATAAATTCACCAAGGTCTCTTCTAGTGTTCACTTGCACAAGCTTCCTATTTTAAGGAATTCAGCCCTATAATCTTCCACTATCCTAGTATGCCTGAGTTTAGCCAGTTGCTTGGGAGCCCATTCCTCTGGCCACATGATCTGGAATTGAGTATCCTCTTGAAAAATTGGCCACACGATCAATGTCTCCACTTAGGCATAGGACCTTTCCAACCATTGGAGGGCATCACCCTTCAAGTAAAAAGACGCAATTGTGTCTTCCTTGCCTCTCTGGTGGGGTGGTCCTTGAACCACATGTCAGCTGCATATAACCACAATCCAACATTTTCCTGACCATCAAATTTAGAAAACTGGATGATACGAGGTTTGTTCCTAAATAGCAAATCATCATCTCCATCATAAATGGGGTTATATCCACCACACCAGTCGATCCCCTAACATAGACATTCCCGACCGCCTCCATCATCACATCATATGTTGTGCATCTGCATCTTAGAAAAAGCCTAGTCATCCTCGCCTTTCCAATACTCCCCAAAGTTGCCAAGTCTTCATCTTGATCCTGGATCGGCATCCCACCCTCGCCCAAACCTATCTTAACCTGTCGACAGTGTCACAAATGACGGAAACTCTGGCTGGCTCACTCGCTAATAATCATTAGAGCCTCCCCAACATGCCTGACAACTATTGTTCGTCGTGGGTTGGTCGGTTCCGATCACCCCTGTTCGATTTTGCTTCTCCCTACCCTGGTTCACACAAACTCGGTTATACCTAATGGCCCAGCCCACTTCTGTTGGTGCTACTAAGGTAGTAGGACCCAGCCTTTTGCCCTCTAGTCGGGCCCTGGTCGGCCCATGCCTCTCCGTGATCCGCCAGGCTTAGATCATCTTCATCAACCCTACCGTTTGGGCCCAAAGCTCCAAATCCAACCTCAAGGCTAGAGAACTCATAGTCGAACAGGTTAACCTTTCCGTGGATTGCTACAATTTCTTGGTCCTTTAATGTGGGAAGCAGACCTGCGGAGGATTCAAGTTCGTCTGATCCTTGGCCTGCACAACCTTCGTCAGTAGCTGCAAGGGTTAAGCTGCTTGCGACCGGTCTCGTGCCACTCATTCTCTTCTCCAGCGTCGTGTTCATTTTGCGCTCCTCCCCCGCTCCGTATGGTTCCACTATCGCCGAGGTATGCGTCTAAGAATTTTCATGGCCTCCCTCGACGTCATCGCCTGTCGTGGCGCTCGCTACTAGCTCAACAGCACCTGCAATGCTTCTACCGTATGACACTTTCCCTGATGGTGAGCTATACCTACTGAATTCCTGCGTTTGGCTTCATCTACATGTCCACCATCGTCCCCATAACTACCTTGACTCCCACCAGATTTGTCACATCCTCGATGTCGAACTATTCCACTGCCGCCGAGGCATGCGTCTCAGAATTTTCACGGCCTCCCTCGACGTCATCGCCTGTCGTTGGCGCTCGCTACTGGCTCAACAGCACATGCAATGCTTCTACCGTACGACACTTTCCCTGATGGTGAGCTATACCTACTGAATTCCTGCGTTTGGCTTCATCTACATGTCCACCATCGTCCCCATAACTACCTTGACTCCCACCAGATATGTCACTTCCTCGATGTCGAACTATTCCACAATTGGCCCGCTTAGGGACGCAACGCTCTTTCCCGAGGGCTGCTCCTCTATGTTTGCCTTGGCACAGTTGTTCTCACTAGTCGGACCCCTTTTCTCTAGAGTGGCGGCCTTTTTGAGAACCGCCTTTTCTGCAGCTATCTCGGCAGCTGTTTTCACCATAGCGGTTTCCATCGTCTCCCGTCTAGTCGATTCTAAGCACCTAACCTGCTCTGATACCATTGTTAGAAGCCCTGCGATCTAAGATGCTCCCAGGCCGGGTAAAGAATTGGAAATAGGAGGTCAATTAGGGATTGACATGTCTAGAGATTAGAAAGAGGATTTAGGAATGGAATTTGAAAAGGAAGGTTGGAAGAAGAGAGGAGGCTTGGTGGCAACACCAAGAGAGAGAAGAGAGAGAAGACCAGTGAATTTAATTATGCTCATAAATCCTTATGGACTAATACCACTTACAGAATTTTTACAATCTGACAATTTTCCTATAGCTACCCGTACTTCTCCCATACCCCCAATTAATACAGTACCTCCCCAAATTCCCCAAAGGTAATAACACAATCCAAAATGACAAATGAACCCATGCTTAAATAAATGTCTTATAATGCAGTACGACCCTCAAAATCTGAAGAGACTCGGTTTCTAGCAGTGTTATTAAAGCCGACTAGAGCCGGTCGGTCGGACCGGTAAAACCGACACCCGGACGTTACTCCCGCCCGGGTCACCCTCAAAACCGCAACGGTCAGAAAAACGCCGATCGGTGAGCGGTAGAAGTGGTTAACCGTTCGAGCCACTTGAACCACCCGACCGGTTTTTTTTGGCTTTTGACCGAAATAAAAAAAAAAACGAAATCGAAAAGGTGGATATCGGTTGATGTCTCCGCCGCCGTTGTCATCAACGAGAATCTTCCCTGCCTAAAAGGCCGTTGCCATTCCCAGAAAGAAAGAGGACAGAGGTCAGATCTAGTGAAGGATTAGAAGAACATCGTCGTGGGTGGTTGAGGGAGTGAGCATATCAATCGCGCTTCAGAATAGCTTCGTGGGGATTGACCCGACAGCGGGGTTTGGGGAGGATTTTGAAGGGCCGATGTTGGTGCGATGGAGGAGAACGACGGTGTTGAAGTGACCGACGACGGTGTGGGGAGAGAGAGTCGGGGAAGAGGAGAGTGTAGAACAAAAGGGGAAACAGCAGTGGTGGTAGGTTTTTTTGGGGGAAACAGACGTGAGAGGAAATGAGAGAGAGAGAGAGCGGCGCTGCTAGGGTGGAATGGGGTAGGGTTTAGTTGTTAAATATATATGGTAAAATTACAAGGTGGTACTTGGAAAGTAAATTTCATTTTTAGTCATTAAACTCTTAAGTTATTGTCTTATGTATCTTGTACTTATTATATTATTTCATTAGCGGTTCTTTAACGGTTGACTACTGATTGGATCACTAAAATATGAGCCATTCACATTATCGGGTCATACTCCGATTCGGTTTTGACAAGATTGGTTTCTAGCACAATACCTCGCTAACTGCAAGAAAAATTAGTTTTGCTAACCATAAACAAAAATGCTCGCATATGACGGTAAACAATTGGCGGCATATTTGAATGTTTGGATGGGAAATGAAGTTTTTTAACCACAATCATAGTATAATTTTGTAGCCCCAAAGGAGAGTTGTCATAAACGAAGTCTTTGTCAATCCTGAAAGTTGTTTTCTAGATTACTGCATCGTCAACTTTATGCGACTTGATTGCTTCTTCAGTTATTCGATGCCTTGCTTCTAATTTCAATACGAAGTTGATTTTTTAGTTATGACAAAGTCATTTTTCAAGAGGTTTATTTATGGTGTAGTCAAAACTAGAAAAATACTTATATTCTTACATGTATATGAATGCTATTAACGGAATATGCTAGACATAGGTGCACTGTTTGTGACACAAGATTCAAACTAATAACCAAACAAGACTTCCATATACATTGATACAAATGTTTTCCTCCGGAGACAACGCTGTCAAGATTGCATTTCTTGGGAGGATTGACATCTATCTCCATTATTAGAAGCAGAAGTTGACGTTTTTTAGGGAGGATATGAAGTTTTGATGAACAAGAATCGGACACTTCTGACAATCTTCCTTAAGAATAGTACATCACTCCTTCATGTTATATACATTAGACCAAGTATTTCTTTTTCTATTTTTTTCCTAATAAGAACACTATACTATATTGTACTTATCCAGATACATATCATTAGTAGTAAATCTCAAAGTTCAGAGAACTCACTATATATTATTTTCCCCACATTCATCATTCGAGTAAGAACCATCTCATTTAGAAACTCAAATCTAGAAATCAATTTTTTTAGGGAAGGAAATCCAAAAACAAACTTGGTTTCCATTTCATGGCCAGTGCACTTTCAGGTAATATAGTCAATAGGATTCTCTTCTCCTATGTTATAAATTATCATTATCAACATTTTCAGTGAAGAGCAGAACGGGAAGCACACATAAGAAACAAACAAACAAAAATCAGCAATGGCGTTTTTGGGCTTAGCCTATGACTTGATTCTAGCAATCATCTCCTGCTTCTTCATATTCATGAAATGGAATGAGATCAGGTACAGGAAAAAAGGGTTGCCTCCAGGAACCATGGGATGGCCGTTGGTTGGTGAGACCTCGGATTTCCTGAAATATGGATCCGAGTTCATGAAAACCCAAAGATCAAAGCATGGAGAAGTGTTCAAGACACATATTTTGGGTTCTCCAACCATCATTTCGATGGATCCTGAGTTGAACAGGTACATTCTTTACAACGAATCAAAAGGGCTTGTTCCAGGGTACCCAAAAGCCATGGTTGATATATTAGGGACCAACATTTCAACTGTCCATGGAGCTACTCACAAGCACATCAGAGGTTCCATACTTTCTCTTCTTGGCCCTGTAGCGGTTAAGGAGAAGCTTTTCCCCAATCTGCTCAAGTGTGTCAAATCCTTTACTGCTGATTGGGATGGCAAAACCATTGACATTCAGGAAAAAGCACAAGAGGTAATCAACAACATTTTTGATGTGTTGTTATTTACATGTTTTTGTCCCCCCCCCCCCCCCCCCCCCCTTTTTTTTTCAAGTTTTTGTTCTTTTTATGTTATATTATACTGTTAGCCACATCAACAATAAAAAAAATTAGCGGATGATTTTAATTCTCTAACATGCTAAAAGATTTTGTTATTTTATGATATTTCAAATAAATTTGAACATCTTTGTCCACTACTTAAAAGGATTGGCTACCTTTTTAGTTATAGTGCTTTGTCATTTTAGCAGACATGTCATTACTCTATGTTGTTTTTACTTCTTACTCATTCTACTACAAAAATTTGATACTAGTGAGGTCAACTCATACTTAGTATGCACACAATTGATAACTAGGATGACATGTATGTTGACAATTCATTTTATTCCCCTTAAGTTTTAGTCACATATCTCATTTCGTTGGAAAACAAAACATCTACAATTTGGGGCTTAATTAGTCAAACTGCCGGAGTAGAAAGATCGATAGCAAAACATATGTGTATAAGAGTCATTGTCGGTATCTGGTTCAAAAGTAGAGTCAAACCCCTAAGTAATGTATTTGTTATGTAAAGATGTTGTAGCGAGATAAAGAACAAGTGAACAATATAGTACCACTTACCCTATTAAGAGACTCGTGATACTTGAATGTGTTTGTTATAACAACATAACATTTTTTTTTTTGGTACTATAAATACCAGAACATGGTCACCACAATTGCGCAATCATAACGTTCTATTTTTTTTTCTGGTCACAACAGATGGCATTCTTCTTAGCTTTCAAGCAGATTTTTGAATCAGAATCACGTTCTATCTATGATAGTTTCAAGCCAGAGTTTGAGAAAATTGTATCAGGGACTCTGGCGCTACCCATCAACATCCCAGGAACTTCTTATCATATAGGATTGCAGGTTTCTTTTCCCCCCGACCCCAATTGATCATTGTTGTTTCATTTATTCCTTTTTTGTGGGATACCTTTGTACAAGTTTCGAAACTCAGAGAGGACTTAATATGGAACAGGCGAGAAGTAAGGTGATCAAATTGTCAAGAGAGATCATAAAACAAAGGAGAAGTTCTTCAACGATACACCGTGACATGCTTGGCCAGATGATGAGTGATGAAACCAAGTACCCTCTGAATGATGAAGAGATCATCTCACAAATCATTACGATCCTGAATTCAGGGTACGAAACCGTCTCGAAAATTACCATGATGTCTCTCAAGTATCTCCATGGCGACCTCAAAGCTCTCCAGGAACTGAGAGTGAGTATTTCTAGCTGAGGCTTGAATCTGACAGGGTTAATGTTTTTGAAGTTTGGAAAATGGTACCCATTATTTCTTATTTTTTGGTTAACGAGATTAGGAGGAGCACTTTGGGATTTTGGGAAGAAAAGAGGCAGGGGAGTCGATCACTTGGGAGGACTACAAATCCATGAGCTTTACCCTCGGAGTAAGACTGAACAAATCAATAGCCATGCATTGGGTTTATTAGTCTTCTTGTTTTTGCTTTCCTTTTTACCCTTTTTGGCTAATGTTTCCTATTTCAGGTTATTCTGGAAAGTTTGAGACTGGCTACGGTTGTAAACGGTGTCATGAGAAGGACAACATCAGACCTCGAACTAAATGGTAAATGTTATCAATTTGTAGCAAATTAATCATACTAGCTGGTTCTATTTATTGAAGAAATTCACCATTTTGACGTACAATATCATGCAATTCCTGATAGGTTACAAATTTCCTAAAGGATGGAGAATTTACATCTACACAAGGGAAGTCAACTATGATCCATTGCTCCATCCAGAACCCTTGAAGTTCAATCCATGGAGATGGCTGGTATGATTGAAAAGACCTCGAAATTATATATAATTATCTGTTAAAAATATCGAGAAGAAGAAAGATATTTAGCTTCATGATTTTTTTTTTTTTTACCGTTTTGGTTCAATGGTAAGGGTGAGTGAAATTAAAATAATAAAACTTGCTATTATTTTTCAGGATAAGAAGTTGGAGTCCCACAAGTACAACTTCCTCTTTGGTGCTGGAGGAAGGTTGTGCCCTGGAAAGGAATTGGGTCTCGTCATGATCTCTTTGTTCCTTCACTGCTTTGTTACTCAATACAGGTTTGATTATCATTGTTATTTTTTGGGAAATGAATTAGTTATTACTATGATTTCATGTGGTAGTTACTTAAATGGTCACTGAACTATGATAGATGTAACAAAATCATCATTGAACTTCAAAATATAACAAAATATTCACTTTAATTCTATATGTTGATTCGTAACAAGTTATCACTCCCCCTTTTGACTAGGGAAACTTACAGTTTTCATTTATTTTTTTAATGATTTTTTCCAGATGGGAGGAGCTTGAAGGAGAAGAAATGGTGAAATTCCCAAGAATTGAAGTACCAAACGGATTACATTTAAGGATTTCAAAGTATTGAGTTTGTGAAAGAGTAGGGCTTGTCAAGTTAGCTCTTACCAGTTTGAAATAGTGTTACTTTTGTTGTTGGTTTCAAAATAGATTTTCCTTCGTAATAAAGTTTTCATTTCCTAATGAATTTTTTGTTCAATAGTATCATTCAGATCTGTGTGATTTAAAGATGACATGTGTGGTGTTTTCTCTATTGTGTTTACTCCTCCTTTTAGATATAAATGTTGTGTATTATTTATATAAAAATTATATAATTTTCTTTGTCAAACGATAAGGCCATCGGGTCAATAACATTTTATGCACAATTGCACCTCAATGGTGATAAACGAAGCACAGATCTTAATTAAGATAGTAAATAAATTATTGCAAATCATGTGAAAAGTTTTTACCAAATAAAGAAAAATATTATTACAAATAAGGCCTAAAAAAATCATGAGAAATCATATATCAAAATCAATACAAAGAATTTTTTATTGTCTACAACCAATGGCTATGGAGTGTGACACACGTTGACTCGATGGTAGCATCAAATCAAAGATAAATGCTATAACTGTTTAGCAGCGTCGTATTCCACAAGACTATCTATTTACTTCTAATTGATTGCTTATGATTCTGAAAACCAAGTGGTGTTGAAGGTTCCCTATTTTGAGTAAAAAAAAAAACAAATAAAATATAGAAAAACTAAAGTACTTGAGCCAAAAATTTAAAGGCAAACTAAATACAAAATATACAAGAACTAAAAAACTAAAACGATAATTTTAAGGAATTTAAAAACTAGAATATAAAACCAGTTGCTTACCAGGTTTCCTCTAAAGATCACCAAAACATTAACTAATAAAATTAAACAAATAACCAAGGTTTTATTCACGAATTTTTTCCATCTCAATTCCTCTAACATATTCTAATCCGTCTACAATAAAAATAAAAACTAACATAAATGTGATTTCTCAACCACTTTAGATAAATTTTAACACATAGATTCCATTGAGTGCATGCAAGATCAAAGGATTCTAGCAAGTTTATTGATTTGGTGAGCTAAGAATTATCCTAGGCACAGTTCCCATCAAACCAAAAATAACCGACACACATACATGCGTAGTTTCCCATCATGCAAACCAAATAATAATCATGTATGCATAATTTTTCATCAAACACATATGAAATCTATTCAAACAAGCAAGAACAAACAATCATAGGAATAAAAACCTCAACATATTGTAATCAAATGTTAATATATATATAGTCTTGGATCACTCTAGGATCAAATTCCTAACAACATGTGAGTTTAGCTAGACACGAGGATGAAGGGAGACATAAACACAAGTAGAGAGACAATCACCATTGTGTGTAAACCACGGTACGGTGGGTCAGTGGTTCCACAGACCACAAGTGGTTATGGCTTTCATCTTCCTCCATTTGTTTCCGAACTTCACTTATGGAGAAACTGAAATTTCCCTCTATTCCCGAGAGCTAATGTGTGAGAGTGATGAGAGCTGGGAGTCGATATATCAGACAACAACACGATCGTCGTCATACGATTTGGATGATCTCGTCTAGATAGCAGGGGCGCGGAAAAGAAATGGAAGGGTTGGGCACGCCCGGAGTGAGGAAAGGCAATTGGTAAGGGCGCAAGACGACTGATGCCATGCCAGCGAGGCAAGCTGGTGATATCGACTCTACACCTCCACTGCAACTTCCATGTGTGGGAGAAGATGAACCAAAAATAGGGGAATTATAGAGATGAGGGAGCCCAAGAGAACAAGTCTCGTGCCTGCCTCAATTGCGGTGGGCGGGAGAATGGAAGAAGAAGAAGAAGAAGAAGAAAAGAAATTAGCAATTTCGATCGAGTTCTGGCTGCTCGGGACTCGTTCAGCCAGTGAAACCTACTGATTTCACAGGGTTTGATCGAGTTTGACTGCGGCTGGTTGAAGACTTATTGAGGAGCTGACGCCCGTTTGCGGACAGCGTTGAGGCCAATTCAATTCGGCCGTACAGCTTGATCACTGTTAAAAATCATGATGCAGAGAGAGGGGGAGGGCGGTGTGTGTAATCGTTTTTGTATTTCAAATGCCAGAGGCGATATTACGATTATGCCCTTATGTGTTCCCGCGGCCACGGTCAATCATAATGCATGATGATGGATGCAGTTATAACAGATCAGTTACTAACGTGATTCAAATCTATTGGTCTGTTAGGTTACGCAACTTGGTGTTTATTCACGTCGTTGTACAATTAAATTTTAAACTTTCAAATATATCAAAATGGATGTCATTGTGCAGATTATGATTAATGCAACACATTTTTACAGATTAATTGAGAATTCAAATTTAATTCCATAAAATATATCCAATACAAATTATTAGGGAAAAATTCAGATTTTCCATTTATGTACAAAATTTACCCTCTTACGTGAATAACCATAGTATTATGTGAATAAGCACCAAATGACGTGATCGTAAAAATACGTGAAAAAGTTGGCTTTAGGTGATTTGTCACTAGAAGTGATAAGAGAACTTTTCCTGGATAACATAGCATTCGTCACAGTCTCACTGAGTGACAGTCCCTTGCTTCAAGGTGGAGAAGATGCAAGTTAGCACCAAGAGCAACCATTGGCCAATTGCATTCGCTCAATCTGAAGCCACAAAAACTCTTAATTTTGGCTATCTGAGTTCTTCATTAAGTTTGAAAATTTCTTCCATTTCCCTCTTTGTATTATGAGAGATACGAAACTTAGTGCCAAAACGTAGAGACAAGAGCGTTTAACGTGGTATCCCCGTAGGTTCGAGACTAGTCCACGGGAGAGGAAACCTCTCCGGTTTGTGTTTCTTATTATTGATTGATAGATTGGCCAATGGCTGTACACAAACATATATACCCTTCTCGGCTATCAACTAGGGTTACATTAGGTGTCAAAGCACATCCGCTGGATACGGGTGGAGTACTGGACTGGGCTAGAGATCAGGAGGTACGGGCCGAGGGAGTGGGCCGAGTGTCCTCCAATACTCCCCCGCAAGATGGAGCGTGAAGATCACGAACGCCCAGATTGGAGAGAAGAAAATGAAAGCGATCGGCACCAAGACCCTTGGTGAACAGGTCGGCGAGCTGGAGCTGAGAAGAAACCTTAATGGGAGCAATATCCTGCGATTGAACGCGCTCCCAGACGAAATAACAATCCATCTCGACATGCTTTGTGTGCTCCTGGAAAACAGGGTTGGCGACAATGTGTAACGCCGCCTGGTTGTGACAATGTAGCATGGTCGGACGAGATTGAGGAGCACCAAGCTTAGAAAGGAGCCAACGAAGCCAGATAAGTTCACTCACTGTACTAGCCATGACCCGGTGAACAGCCTCTGCAGTGGAGCGAGCGACCACCTAGTGTTTCTTCGTAAGCCAGATAAGTAACGGAGACTACCAAGATCTTTGATGCTGAACTGATCATTGAGGAAAGTCTTGACCTGTGTGATAAAAGAGAGATCATTACCAGCAAGAAGAACATCATCAACATAAATAAGAGATACAACAAAGGTGTTTCCCCTTATGATAAATGAAGAGAGAGTGGTCGACAAGAGATGGTCGGAACTGGAGTTAACAAAGAGCAGCATTGAACTTGTGATACCAATTACGGGAGGTCTGACGAAGACCAAATAGTGACTTATGAAGGCGGCATACGCGAGTCTCTCCCGGACCAGCAAAACCCTGTTGGATGCGCATGTAGACCTCCTCATCGAGATCACCATGGAGGAAGACACTATTAACATCCAACTGGTGAATGAACCATCCCTTGCTGACGGCAATGACAAGTAAACAGCGGACAGTAACCAACTAGGCAATAGGGGCGAATGTGTCGTGGAAGTCGATGCCCTCGATCTGAGTGTAGCCTTTTGCAACAAGACGAGCTTTAAAATGCTCAATGGTGCCATCTGGGTGAAACTTGATTTTGTAGACCCATTTGCAATCGATAGTACGTTTTCTTGGAGGGAGGAAAACCAGACCCCATGTTCCATTTTCTCAAGGGCGGCAATTTCAGCTTGCATAGCTTGGCGCCACCGTTCATCAAGCATAGCCTGCTTAAAAGTGTGAGGTTCGGTGTGGAGAGCGACAGTTGCAACAAAGCCACGATAAGTAGGAGTGACACGATCATAGGCAACATGGGAAGAAATAACATACCAGACAGAATTGGCATCGGAACCAGTATAATAAATGTTAAGGTGGCGAGGCTTGACACGCTGTCGGTCACTGCGGTGAAAGACATGCTCGGCCTGGGAGTGTTGTGGCGAACCAGAGGAAGGCAAGCCGGGGTAAGTAGGCGATGGGGCCAAACTGGCCGGACGAGGAGAGTGGGCCGGCGAGGGCTGATCCGCGGAGGGCGAAGAATTGGGAGACCCAGGAGAAACGAGCTAAACCGGGACGAGCCGAACAGGAGATGATGGCTGGGCCGGTATGGGAGGGGTAGGTAGTGGCCCAGAAGTGGCAGTAACCAGCTCATCCTCATCATCAAAGGTGGGCCGAGTAAACACCTATGGAGAGACCCAATGGAAATCGTTAGAAACAGTGGGTCTAAAAGGGAAAACAATCTCGTGGAACACGACGTCACGGCTAGTGATCACTTTACAAGTTGTGAGATCATAAGCCCGATAACCCTTTTGGGTAATAGCATAACCCTAGAACACGTAGGCCTTCCCCCGTTCCTGAAACTTATCCAAACCAGTATGTGTGTCCTTGCAGTAGAGAGGCAACCAAAGACTCGCAAATTAGAGTAATAAGCCGACTTGCCGAAAATGACCTCAAAGGGAGTTTTACCGGTAGCAACAGTTGGTAAACGGTAGATCAAATAAGCGGAAGTTAGAATACATTCACCCCAGAAATGTATGGGCAAAGAAGCATAGAATGCAACCTCGAGAAGGTGGCGATGTTTTCTCTCGACAACACCATTCTGTTGAGGTGTGCCAGTGCAAGAAGTTTGAAGAACAATGCCATGCTCATCATAATAACGACAAAGATCATGGCGCTGGAACTCAAGGTCGTT